GTCCAGCGCCTGGCTCTTCCTAAGGGGAGACCTGGGAGCTGAGGGTCCCCAGCTGGGGCCAGCGGAGCGGGGAGATGGCACTAGAGCTGAGCTGGCCGGGGGTCCCGACTCCATACCCACACCTCGTTTGGTGGCACTGCCTCCCTCCAGAGGGGTGACGTGGTGGGTGTGAAAACTGCTGCGGAGTTTTGCTGCAAGCTCCCTTGTAGCTGTGGAGCGCGTCAGAGATGCGCTTGCGTCCAGCCACTGAAGGAGAGGTCCGGTGGGAGCGCGACAGGCTGGTCTTGGCGTTGCCTTCCTGAGGAAGGGTGAGCATCACCCACTGCCGCGGCGAGAGCACACCGAGCCAGCTGCCTGCACGACGGTCCCTCCGGCAACGCCCCCAGCGCCTGCGGGGACGTGGGCTCGCCACCCGCGTACCGTCCCTGCTGCTTTCCTTGGCACGGCATCAGGAGCCCAGCATTCACCCGGCTCTGCCACCCACTGGCTCCGCGGCCCTGCAGAAGTTACTCACCTTCCTTGTGCCTCGGTTCTCCCACGCGCTGCAAACCGCCCCGAGATCGGCGGGGGAAAGCGGTGCTGCGATGCACTAATTCAGTTCAGCGATGCCAACCACGCTTTTGGGGTGCCATGGGTGGTGTCGCTGATGCCGTAGTGCCAGTCTTTCTCTGGGATAGGGTTACGGTATGTTTTGGCTGTGTCATAGCCAGAACTGCCTCCATCCCTGCCCCGAGAGGGTGCGTGGGTGCAAGAGGGGCTGGAGGATCATACCAGGTACCGTCGGGCATAGGGGAATGAGATCATTTAGATTTTCCCCTGTAACCTTGATCTGTTAATCCATGCGAGCTCCCATTAAGGGACCCTTTTATGGGCTCCTTCCGCCCTCGCTGAGCCCTGGGTGGAGCAGGGCGACCGTGCCGGAGAGCCTTGGAATGGCTCCAGTAAAACCCTCCAGCTGTGGAGAGCTGAGGGGGCACAAGCTGACAGCCCTTGCCCGCCGGGCTGCCCCTCTGGGTTTCTCCTCTGCGCTCCGAGATGCCGAACACACGCTACCGCGTTCTCCAGGCTCCTCTTCCGTTCAGCCTCCACTTACCGGTACCAGAGCAGAGGCCCCGGTTCGCCCACGGCGAGACTGATGCCAAACCTCTCCCCATCCCTCCGCTGCCAGGGCAGAGGCTGCGGGGCCGAGGCGTGCCAGGGTACTGTGGCATCCCGCCGGTGCGACATTGGGCTCGCCTGCACGCACCTCCCCAAAGAAAAGCGCCTTTGATTCACTTGAGAGCGGAGGAAACTATTAGCCAAGCTTTGTTTTCCTGGATCCCTCCCCCTGCCGCTGACATTCAGACTAGAGCGAGAGAGACAGAAAGTGAGAGAGGGAGGGCGGGAGCGGGTGCCAAGCGGCCGCACCCCTTGTCAGCTTGGGTCAGCGCCACGTTCGTTATTAATGCTCTGTCTAGAGGTCACATTCAGATGCAACGAGCCCTGGGTCAGCCAGAGGAACAGATTAGAGCTCGCTCACTGCTCCGCCACATACCGACGGCACCGGCTCCCCGTCCCCGGGCTGGCAGGAGCGGAGCTGCAGCACACGGTTGGCTGCTCCTTCCCCTTTGCCTTTCTCCTGCCTTTTTCTTTTTTTAATTATTATTATTATTTCTTGGCAACGTTGGGCATCTCCTGAAACTGCACAGCCTCCCCGTAGCCCCAAGCTGCTGAGCAAGGAGGTGAGGTAGGGGAGAAAATACCGGAGGCGCTTCCATCCACCTTAACAACCGCGGCTGCAGCCGGCTGGAAAGCTCTGGCGAACGAGCGGGAGGAGCACGGAGGACGCCGTTCGCTCGCCGGCCCCGCCGGAGGGAAGAGCGCTGGGGCGGGAGCATGTGTTCCCACCAACTTCTGGCATTGGGGTCAGGAGTCTCCCGCCTGTGACCTGGTTTCCAGCCTCGGTGCCTGCTCGCTCGCTGTTCTCAGCTGCCCATGGCTCTGAAATCCTCTCGCCCCCAGGATTTAAGGAACCGGCTTTGCTTTCTTCTCCATCTCCGGCTGCTGCGAGGGAGCGAAAGCAAAATGCGTGGGGAGGGTGTGAGCGGAGCACTCGCAGCGCTTCGCAGCGGGCTGCTGTGCCCAGGGGGGCTTTGAAGAAGTGCCCCGACGCCCGTGTCCTTCCCAGCTCGCCTGCTGCACGCTCCGGGCGCGCTCCCTGCCCACCGGAGCTGGACCCGGAGCACGTAAGTCCGGCGTTGGGGTCCGAAGGATGGGGTTAACCTCAAGGTTGCGTGTAGCTGCATGCCTGCAGGCAGACCCTGCCTCCTGAGCCCCCGCCCCAAGCCAACGAATGCAGGGTTCGTTAAGATCTGATAACTCAGTTAGTCATAGTTTCAGTTGTGCTGCGGAACGAAGGGCTGCACGATGCCGAGGCGGGCTGGTGTGCCAGGGAGCGCGGGGCAGAGGCTGGGGGGGCGCAGGGGCTGGGGGCTGCCAGGCTGGTGGAGTTCATCACGCTGGGATGCCCAGTGAGCCGAGGGCTTACCGGCACATCCCGGGGTGTCTCGGCTGGTCCCTCCCCGATCGTGCACATAATTACAGCGTGGGGAAGCAGGTGTTGCTGTTTTGCTCTGGTTTTACTGTAAAGAGAAGAGCGGCTGGGCTCCCTACCGCGTCCTGCAGGCAGGGGCTGCAGGCAGCTTCCTTCTCAAGAGCCCGGCACAGACGCGGCCACCTGCCCGGCCAGCTGCAAGCTCCTCTGGCAGCGTCCCCGTCCCCCAGCCCTGCCGTGGGGGGCACAGGGGGCCTGGGCGGGGGAAAGGGCAGCCGGGAGCTGGCATCACCCGCGGCTGGCAAAGGTCACGCCGCGCTGGGGACCGCTTGCACTGGCAGGAATCACCCCCCACCCCGGGCTCTGCTGTGCCGGGTCCCGCTTTCCTCCACCAGACGGCACGGAATGTTGCCCACTGAAGCATCGGGGCTCACCGCACGCCGCTGCCAGTGTTTGCGTTTCGGGGCTTTGCCGGGGCGCAGCAAAGAGCTCCAGCCCCGGCTGTCACACTTGGTGCAGGGCCACCAGCGTGGCAATGAGCAAAGGGGGCCGAGCCGCTTGTTTGCTTTGGATGGCAGCGATGGGTTGTGACACAGGGGACGGGTTGTGACACAGGGGACCGTCCTGTTTTCCACTGCAGCCTTCAGCAACTGCGGGGCGAGGACTCCTGCCCCGGCTTGTTATCTCTCGCGGTTGGTGGCCGGACATCCTTTTTTTTACTTATTATTATTTTTAAGAAGTTCCAGCCTGCCAGCGAGGTGACAGAGGTCGTGGGTTTGGCTGGAGCGAGGCTGGGAGTTGCAGAGTTAAAGCTCAAACTTGTTTCTTGGCTTGCCACCGCCTTTTGTGGTGCTCAGCGCAGTGTGATGCCTGCCTCTTACATGCAATTTGATAAGCCCTGGTGCTGGGATGGGGCAGGATACAGGCACTGACTGGATGTTAACTCCTGCTGTGCTGGGTACTGCTGTTTTTCTCCAGGACCTGGGAAGCAGGGAGGGGGGTTTCATCTCTCCTGGGCTACGTGGTGCCGTCTGTTCAATACAGACATAACCGCAGCCCCCATGCCATGCCCTCACCTTGCACGGGCGCACGGATCCTGGCCAGAGGTGCGTCTCTCGGGCCCTGATTGCTTGTGGCTGCACTGAGGTCAGTCCGTCCCGGGGGGGTTGTTGTTGGGCTGAAGCAGAGGTTGGGCTGGCACTTGGGTCCAGGCTGGGGCTCAGAGGTGACACGTGGCAGCAAAGTGGCTGGAGGCTGGCATCAGGGCTGGGGCACAGCTGCCATGGCTCCCAGGCTCAAGCAGGGCAACGCACAGCAGCCCTAACATGGGACTCATTGCAGTCCCGAGCCCCACAGCATCGGAGCAGCCAGGGAAGGCTTTGGGGATGGAGGACGGAGATGCCCAGGCAGTGCCAGTTCCCAGGCTCTGCGGTTGGTGGCTTCTGGGCAGAAAAACCCCTAACAAAAGAGGAAGATGCTCTTCGAAGGTTCATTCCCTGCTGGTTTTCATCTTGAAGTCACCTTTTGTGGCAGTACCGTGCCCCTGGGTTCACAGTCTCTCCGTCCTGCGCCCTGCACAAGGTGCAGGGGAGGACCTGCGGAGCTGTTGGCTTCATGTGGGCAGCCAGGAGCCAGCCGGACCAGCATGACCCAGCTTGGCCAGTAGCGTCCCGCAGGCTGGTGGCAGCTCTGGCCCCACCAGGCACCACAGGAAGGACCAGCTGCACACCAGGAAGGATTGCAGGCAGTGAGGCTTTATTTCCCAGAAAGCCTGGATGGTTCTCGCCTGGGTCACCTCCAGGAGCCTGGGATGGAGGGACCAGGGTGCCCCTGCACCTCTGGGCTGCAATTGTGACTCCCACCTTCCAGCTGTGGGACCAGGGGTGCCCAGACACCCCTGCAGAGACCGCAAGGACAGAGGGTGCTAACTCACTCCTTCCTCCTTCTCCTCCTCCTCCTCGTCCTTCACCCTGCTGGGTTGCCCCAGCGCTGGCAGGAGCCCCGTGCTTGTGTGGCACTGTCTGGCCAGGATTGCCAGCCCTTGGCATGATGCCTGACCTGGGAAGCTGCTTTTGCTGATGAGCCTGCGATCAGCGCTAATCCCCTGGCATGCCTCTTCCCAGCCCAGGACATCACCTGGGCTTCACTGCTGCTTCCCTGCCTGGGCTATTCCTCCCCATCCGTAACAGGACTCTGCTCCAGCCCCCTGAACTGCCTTGTCACTCCGGTCGAAGTCATCACTGGGGCACAGGAGGGTGGGAAGAGCCTTTGCTTCGTTGTAGGACTGAGAGCTGCTGCCCCAAGTTCTCCTGGGCATGGCAACACCTCCTGCAACCGTCCCGAAGGGAAGGGAGCACCGCTCACCCTCCTGACTGCCCGGTGGCTGGCTGAGACGTGGCGGGACGTGTTTTGTTCCGGAGGCGGTCAGCATAGTGCCTTTTTTCCCCTTGGAAAGAAAAACAGGCTCTCGTAGGTCATCCCCTGGCCTAGGAAGCCTTGCAGACGGGTGCTAGTGACCGTATTGTTCCTGTGGAGTTTGGCTTGCACGGAGGATGTTTCCCATCCTGCATGGATAATGCTGCCCTTGTGTGAGCGTATCTGGTGTTAAACCCTTTTCCTTCTTCCCTCCTGTGACCACAGGTCTCCTTGAGCATGGGCGGAACTGGTCGGCCATTGCCAGGATGGTGGGCTCCAAGACCGTGTCGCAGTGCAAAAACTTCTACTTCAACTACAAGAAGAGGCAGAACCTGGATGAGATCCTACAGCAGCACAAACTGAAAATGGTGAGAGCCCCGTCTTAGCCCGCACCCATAGATACTTTCCAGCAAGTCCTTGCGTGCTTCCCACAGCCAAGGAGGGTCTTTATCATCTCAGAGTGAAAGCTCTGGGGACTGGGAAGCGGTGGTTGTGCATCTGGCCTCAGGAGGTCTGGAGCTGCTGTGTGGGAGATGCCTGGGTGTCTGGAACGTGGCTGGTACACGGGGAGATAAGAAAGAGCAGAAGGAGGAGCGGGGTTGTGGTGTGTTGGCCAGGACGAGAGCTCAGTCCTGGCTGCACAAATCCTTCGATGCCGGCAACGCTGTGCTGTTCCATCCCGGGGAACAGAGAGCCCCACTGGCCACCGCAGCTCTGTCCCTTGCAGGTACCGCAGTTACCCGGTAAGCTGTCAGTTTGCCCCAAAGAAATGGAGGGGTTTAGGACAACGCAAGGAAAGGCTGGTCCCGACACAGATGTCGGTTGTCTCCGGGGCTGCGAGCAGATGTGCACGTCTCTCCGTGCCTCAGTTTCCCCCTCAGAAGGGGTTAACGTTGCTTCTTTTCTGGCATGCGATGCAGGGTGTGAATGAAGTGGGGCTTGTTCAGCATTCTGGAGATAAGACGGACTGCTAAGAGCAGCTAAGGATTATAATTATTTCATTTGTAGAGTATCCTGGGGTTCCTAGTTTCTAGCTAATAGAATTCACATGGCTAAACCCCCAAGGGGTGCTTTGAAAATGCAAAGGACAATGTTCAATGCAGGAATCTCTCCAAGCAAGCTATTACAGCAAGAGTAAAAAGAAAGACAGGAAAACATTCAATGACTCACCCAGGAATTTAATATCCTAGTCAGTCTATAGGAATGAGAGAAAGAGAAGACATTGGCGATTCTCTTTTATTAATTCTCTATGCACAGAGACACTCCTGTATTCCCATGTTTCACCAAATTGTTTTTAGAAACAAAGCAAACAAACTATATAAAAGACCCCAAAAACAGTATAAAGACTGGAATGAAATGTGCATCGAGCCCTCCGAATATAAAATGTTACATTATAAAGATATCATTGTTCATTACTGAGGAGAATCTGAAACAAGATCATACAGCTTAGCTGGCAGTGGAACCGGTGTGTATTAATTTACTCTGCTTCCTAATGTTTCAGAAATTATATCAGAGAAGTGTTTTTCTGCAGAACCACATTTTTCCCTGCATCCGTCCCTCCAAGGCAGCCACTAGACTTCTCCAGTCTAATTGCTCACTCTCACTTGCAGTTTACATCAGCATCATCATTTTATTTTTTGAGCATTGGAGGCTATGGGATTCGGTTGTGGAGAAGAACAATGAACGTTCAGCTGTTATTTATTGTGCTCTATTGTTTTGTGGCAACAGCAGATGCCAGAAAGCTGAATAAAATAAAAGAACAACTGAGATTAAATTGCCATAGACCTTCCTTCCTGACTCCTAAATATATTCACAAGCAAACCGAGCCTCCTAATCTCATCCTATACCCAGTAGTCAGCCGTGACCTCTGCGGAGGAAGCACGTGGCGAGGCAGCGTGGCATCGCCTAGTTTTGCCGTGACATGCCCAGATTATTCCCTGACCTCGCCACCAACAGCTATTGCTGATCATGTGCAGGGAAACACAGTGGCTCTGCTTTTCTTCCTCTTGCTTAATGAGAGTAAAACTAATTAGCAGATCATATTCGTTTCCCAAATGGGGCTCATTAATATTGTAGCCTGCTCTTCCAGGTAGGTGTGACACCAGGTTTCAGCAGCGTGCAGGCAACTCGGAGGAGCTGCGGGGACGGGCAGGTGGCGGTGGCCAGTGTGGGACGGGAAGCGGAGCTTGGCAAGGTCCCTCTGTCCCCAGAATGTGGCAGAGCGCGGTGTGGAGCAGGATGTCCCTGTTCCCCGTGCTGGGACAGTGCTGGGTGGGATGGGGCCAGGCATTTTGGCAGCCCCATCTCCCCTCGAGTGCTGAACCCCAGCTGGCCAGAGCCCGCGGAGCTTTGGGGATGGGGGGACCCCCGCTCTGAGCATCCGGAGCATTAGGAAGGAGAAGGGTTTGGGTTGCAGTAGGTGAAGGTGTCTGGCACAGTAACGCTCCTTTTCCGCCTCTCCAGAGCCAGTGTGGTCCGTACGTTTCCACATGCCGTGTTTGGGGTTTTAATTTTAAGACCCATCCTTTTTCTGGAGAGATTCTCCCCTTGGGAAAGAGCACACAGGAACCAGGGAGCTGCATGTGGGCTGCGTCAGCACGCAGAGCCCCATTCCCCCTCTCCCCCGAGCTGCTCAGCACTCACAAGACCCTTCTCCAGCCCGTTCGAGGAGGGGAGTCCCACTGCGGTCCTGGCTCAACAGGGCTGGATGCCGCAGATCCTCACCCTCCTCCCTCTGCAAGCATCCCCATGGATCAGGGTGTCCCTGCCAGCCGGCTGCACCGTGGGACAGGCAGCCTGTTACTGCTGGGGCAGGGTCAGGCCACCTCGAGGCTTTGCTTTATCTGCCCTGCTGTGTGTTTTGGCTTGGTTTCGCTGCCGAGCGGCTCGGATGTGTCCCAGGCATCAGCGTCACTTAGCCTTGACCTTCTGCACACTGTGCTCTCTAATCTCGGCATTTAAGGAAAGCAGGGCATTGGGATACATGGTGTCCTCTGAGCCGCTCGTTTTGTTAGCAGCTGGAGATTAGGCGCTGCCTTTGCCCGGACCTCTTTGTGGTGTGATTGTCACTTCGGTCTGACTGCTGGGGCTTGTTTTGGCTTCTGCAGCGAAGATGAGTGAGTTATCTCCTGGGCTGGTGCTGGTCCTGCTTGGAGGACCCATCTTTTGGACCCCTCCGAGCCACATCTCTGCAATTCCTTGCTTTTTTTTTGGGTGGTACTGGCTTCGCAGAGCAAAGCTGCTTCAGGGGGACAGCTTGGTGGCCTCTTCTTCTGGAGGGTGAACAAGTCTGCCTTGCCTTGGTGCAGAGCCTTGGTCTCGGGATGGGGAACTGAGACCCTCCTCACCACGGTGGGCAGAGAGGTCCTGCCTGTGGGATCATCTCTCTGTCCCTTCCCATTGCTGCTGGCTGCTCCCACAGCAGAGCACGGGAGTCACTCTGTGGTTAGACCTAGTCCTGGTGCGGTCTCAAATGCACACCATTGTGTCACACTAGTCTGGGACTGCCTGGTCCTGCTCTTAGGACAGGCTGAGGCCCATGCTGATGGGAGGTACCCATGTCGGTAGCGGGGTTTGGAAGCTGTTTTGGCTGTTGCTGCCACCTCAGGTAGTGAGTGCAAGGAGAGGCCAAATTTGTCAGGATGGCTGCTCTGCCTGCGAGGCAGAAGGCCAGAGAGATGTCACGCCTGAGGACTGGTGGTATCTCCGTCTCCTCCTCCGGGACAGATGGTGCAGGTGAACTTGAGTGGAGGGAGGCAGTCCCCAGCACGAGGGGAGGTGGGAGAAGAGCTGCCCATCCCTGCCAAGCTGGGAGTCAGCGTGATGGGGCTGACTGGGGACCAGGTGCCCAGGAGGACAGCGCAGAGGAGCAGGCATGGAGCAATCCCTCATGCAGGTTTCGGTGTCCTCGTTGTGCATAGCATGTCTCATCAGTGGTCTTGGCGAGGCAGACTGCTCAAGTGGCACCAAGTGCTGGATGCGCCTGCAAAAATACCGGGTGGCAGGTAGAGAGCAGAGACCCCATGGGCTGGGGTGGCACAAAATGAGCATCAAAATGCCCATAGCAAATGGCCTGGCACCTACCTGTGGCCTCACTGGTAATCACTTGAATCGAGAGTACGTTGTGACGATGGGAGACACCTGGTCCCAGGCACGGCTCACAGAGACTCTTCCATGTCCGCTGCAGTTGTGGTTAGGATCCTGCGTCAGACGTGGTGGCCCTGTGGCTGCTTACAGAGGCAGAGCAGAGAGAGACCCCTTTCCTGGGCAGGGTGCCGGGAGCAAGACTGCACAAGGGGCCAGAGCTGTTGGCGTTATAAGAGGCGAGGTGGTGGCCTGAACGTATCTCTAGATGTAGCCAGGATCTGCTGCATAGATTTCATGTCATCTTCCCTAAATACCAGCAGTGGGGTCTGCCAGGAGAGGGACCCATGGTGCCCCTGGGTCAGCTCGCTGCTCCGCTCTGCTGGCAGCCGCCGGCCCCCGGGCTCTGTCCAAGTAGGGTGCTGAGGCAGAGGCTGGTTCCCAGCTAATTCCCCAGCGAGGAGCCTGCTCCTGCCTGCGGCTGAGTCACGGACCCGTGAGTAAGAGGCAGAGAAGTCTTTGCCATAGTAACGTCAGCGCTTTGTCACTGCGTTAGCGTGATGGGGAACTGCTGCTTCATACAGAAATGCGCGGTTGCTGAATCGCTGCCGTGGCAGAGGCGTGAACGCTGGCAGCACCGGGACAACACTGCTGCTGCCGGGACGGGGCGAGGGCACCGTGGCTTCCTCCCGCTGCATCTCCGCGCCTTCACAAAGCCCTTTCTCAAGTGCCTTTTTTCCCTCTCTCCTGCCCAGTTTGATAAAAATAGATTTTGAGCAAGCAGTGTTTCCAAGCAAAAAGCAGTTGTATTTGTTTGTTTTATCTGGAAGTTTTTTAAGGGATTGAAAAGTTGGCGGGGGGAAAGGGGGGGACCAGCTCTTCCCAGCACAGAGATCCAGCAGCAAAGTTAACGTTTCCACCACGGCTTTATCTTTTCATCCATGTAAATAAACGTCCTACACACGTCATTCGTGTGGGGTTTGCAGGGAGAGCCGGAGATGATGGGCCTGTTCCTACTGGTAATATTTACTCAAGCAACAAGAGCAGGAAACAATAGCAAAGCCGAGACTTTTCCTTCAGGTCCGTGGGAGGGAGCAGCTCTCCGTGCCCTCGTGGCTGCAGCACGTGCCCCGGCAAGCAGGGACGGGCCTGTCTCGGGGCAGGACAGGGCACCAGGCAGCTCACCTTTGGGATGCCGTGCCGCACGAAGCGTCCCCACCACCCACAGGTGACAGCCTCCCCAGCACAGGAGCCAAAGTCCTTTGGCAAGCACCTGCCATAGGGGACACGAAAGCCGGTGCGTGAAAATGTTGGCTGGGCCATATCTGGGGCGTCAGCTTTGTTATCTGCAGATGAGCGTCAAGCCGCATGTTTGTGTAGCTGGAGGTAATGCTGGAAATACGCAGGACAAACACATCGCACGTGCGTAATGAGCGGACGCGGGACCACCGGGCTCTGGCCAGCCCTGCACTGGTGACTTCTGCGCACGCGTGCCTTGTCCACGCGTCGGTGCCACCTCTCCCTCGGAGGCTCGCTGCCGCCTGGGGCTGGAGCTCCGCGTGGAACCGGGCTGCCTGCACGGCGGTCAAAGTTTTTTGGCCAGGTGAGACCGTGCTGCCGGGCTTTCGGCAGGCGAGTCCGGTCCCAAGGACTGATTTTCAGAGGGTTTACTGGGGGAGACCATGGTGGCGTTAGCATCCCTCTTGGCCCTTCAGGCAGGACCAATGCTGTCTGATCCCCATCCCTCTGGTCTTTTCTTCTCATCATCCTCTGCCTGTTCCCCAGGAGAAAGAAAGGAACGCCAAGAGGAAGAAGAAAAAAGGCACCGCCGTTCAAAACGAAGAAGCTGCCTTCCCTCCCGCAGCTGAGGACGAGGAGATGGAGGTGTCGGGGACGAGCGGCAATGAGGAGGAGATGGCCGAGGAGGCAGAAGGTGAGGCGGGTGGGATGCACTCAGCTCTCCCGGCTTTGCTGCATGGTTGCAGCAGAGGCACCGTGCATGGCCTCTCAGGGGCTGCAAATGTCAGCGCTCGCAGGGGGTCACATCTGTCACCCCAAAGCCACACCAAGGTGATGGCGTCCCACAGCACAAGGCGCTTGTCGCCTTTCGGATGCCTCTGGCTTTCACGCTTGTGAGGAGTGCCCTGGATCACTGCCTTCCTCCCGTGTCTGTCTGGAGGATGTTTGTTTTGGGAAGGTCATGCAATTGTGGGAGCTCTTTTCCCAGCCAGCCTCTGCCATGGCTGCCGGACACCCACTGGGGTCCCGGGGGGCACAGGGAGGCTGTCAGCAGCCTCTGCGGCCCAAGGGCTCCTGGCCTCCGCATCGAGGCTGCACGTAAAGGGCTCACCCAGGCCTTGGGGTGGTCCCAGTGGCTTCTCCTCGCCCTGGAGGAGAGCAAACCCTTTGGTTTCCAATTTCTGTCAGCGTGCGCTCCCCAGAGCACCCAGCTTACCGGGGTCTGGCACACTTGTGCGCTTTTATAAATCACATTTCATGGTGTTTTTCCCCGAAGGAGGGTTCCTGCGCACTCGGCAGGGTTAGATAGCCACCGCCACGGGCTCTCGAGGAGCTTATCATGGGCTGAAGAAGGGATAACCCGCTAAGGTTTGCATGTGCCCATCCCTGTCCCATCAGGGCATCGCTGCCGATGCTGCCCCGGACAGGGGAGCCCACGCTGCCAGCAGAGGCAGGGGAAGCCGTGGTCTCCCGGCGGCGAGGCTGATGTACCTTGGCCAGTCTTTTCCTCCTCCTTTCCCTTTTAAGGCAGCCTTTCCCTCCCTCCCAGCAATACCAAAGAAAGGAAACAACTTGAAAGTGACAATTTTCAGCTGTTTATCACTTAGAAAGCACGGCAGCGAGTTTGGAGAAAATGTGCATAATTTTCCAACAATAGCCCCATTTGACTTTTGTCAAAGTAATTTAATGACTTAACCAGCACTGCTGGCACCACGCTGGTTCCTGGCCTTAGCACCCAGGCTAATGGGACTCGAAATGGGAAATCTTTTCAAATCATCGTTGTGAATGACTCATTACAAGGCAGATTCCAGGTAAATCTTTGTGCGAGGTGATACGTGACTCAGAGGCATAAAGTAAAAGGTAGTTATTGCTCTTTGTAAGAGTGCCTGCGAGGAAACAATGTATTTTTGAGATTAGAGACGGATCTCTTGACATGTTCCTGAGCCTTACGCTCCAAGCCTCGTCTCTTGTTCTGCTGCTGGGGTGGGCTACGGAGCTGAAGAAAGGTGTGAGCTGGGGGAGATGAAATGTCACGGGCGCAGAAGCGCCAGGGCGGTGTTATGCACGAGATGGCCGCTGGCTCCGGGATGACATTTGGGGATCCTCAGGCAATAGCTTGGGGTCAGGGGGCTGTGTGGCCAGCCAGGGAGGGAGGACTTGGCATGGGGGCTATGGTGTAGACCACAGATTCGGTATTCAGAGGGAGTGTGCTGGAGCCTAGAGCTTGGCTGAGCCTGGGACAAGCCACTGCTGGATGTCTCGGCGTGGCATTCAGAGCAGCATCGAGTGGCAGTCAGGGAGAGTTTGGCCAAACGCGCTGTAAACCCCGTCCCTGGGTGGGGGGCAGGACACTTTATTGCTTGATTGCAAGTGAGTAAAGGCTGGAGAAGGCTGAGATTCCTGAGGAGCGTGGCATGTTTTCCTGCCAAGGAAGGATGGATGTGCTCCGAGGTACAGCTCTTGGGACACAGTCCCTCTGTGTCATTCATCTTGCCAGCGTTTGAAAGCTGTCTGTGCTGCTGTGGAGAGAGACGAGTAAAGGAATGCGCAGGAGGAAGCATTTGGGCACGAGTGTGAGAGCCGTGCCCGGTGGGGACGGGCTCAGATGGGACCGTGGAAGTCTCCTGGTGCTCCTGGCCCTGGCCGCATTTGTCTGGCAAAGGCTTGGAGGGAATGATCCTCTCCCCAGCCATAGAAACAATCTCTTGGCAGCACCTTCATCTGCAGTGGTGCATGGATGCTTGTGCTTCCAGCTCACTTCAGGCCATTGGTGGCAGATTTGAGAATGATCCTTTCTGTGTAATAATTAACCTGTCCCTCAGCACTGCCAGCGCTTTGCTTTCACTGACCCTGACCTCCTTTCTTCTGCCACTGGCGGCTTAAATAACAACAAACATGTGCGGTGTTTTGGGATGGTCCCCAGGGGCCCCGGGGGTGGCAGAGCCAGGGACACGGGCGACGTAAGTCAGCAAGCAGGGTGCCAGAGAGGTGCCTGGCCCTGGGAGAGCAGAGCTGATCCAGAGCCATGGGTGAGAGGGCGAGGAGGGAGCAGGTCCTGCCCTGCGTATCCAGCCAAAAGCCAGGGTTTTCCCTTAAAACCCAGTCGTTCAGTCTCCAGGCTTTTGGGCGTGTGGCTTTGCATTTCAGTGGGGAGTAACAACAGTCGTCTTGTTGGGCAAGCAAAGAGGCCCCCAGAGCATCCCTTTGCTTAAGAGGCTCTGGATCCGGGGATCCCAGCACAGCTCTCCCAGCCCTGGGATCGTCTCCCCCTTGGAGGAACGAGGGCGTTCTCCTCCCATGGGAGGGGGCGGAGGCAGCGATATGGGAAGCGAGAATCTCGGGCTGATCCTTATTTTTATTTCTTCCTTTTTCTCAGCTGCAGTAAATAACAGCTCCGACACTGAGAGCATTCCCTCACCAAGGCCCGAAGCCAAAGAAGGAGGCGAAAACGGGGCCAAGGCACCAGCCGGGCCGGGAGGCGACTCCGGCGCAGAACCAGCAGTCAAGTTGGAAGAGGCTCCAACACCCCCCGACGCTCCCCCCGCTCCCCCCGCCAACCCCGCTCCTGCCACCAGCCCTCCGCCGGAGGCAGCTCCCGAGCCGCCCAGCAGCGAGGAGAAGGTGCAGGAGGACCTGGTGGTGGACGTGGTGAAAACGGAGGAGCCAGAGGAGAAGGTGAGCGAAGAGCCCTGCAAGAGTGAGGTGAAGAAGGAGGAGAGTGAAGACAGCCAGGAGAAGGACAAGGGGAATGACAAGAAAGCGGAAAGCGGCATCAGCAGCGGAGGGACAGCAGGGACGGAGGGGACACCCAAGGCTGAGAAGAAGGAGAGCCATAAAGGCAGTAAAGGCCCCGGGGTGAACCCCGACAGTGACTCCAGCGCGACCTGCAGCGCGGACGAGATGGACGAGCAGGATGCTGTGGACAAGAGCAGGTAGGAGCGGGGAGACAGGTGGGCAAGTGCACAGCCCGAGGGGCAGACGAGCATCTCCGTTGCATGCCACAGTGCCCACATGTGCTTTTGCGAGCTCCTTCTTGGGAATATCACCGCTCAGGCGCTCCCCTAGGTGAAGGGACGTGCCCAACTGTGTCCCCACGTGGCCGCGACCCTCTGGCCATCGCTTGCAAAGGGGCCATGACACAACGGGCAGTGCAATGTCCCAGCGTGTGGGTGCTACTGGGCAATGGCCACAGGCAGGTGTTGGGTGCAGAGCCGCTGCGTCTGCTGGCCTCAGCCCATCTGGGTGATGCAATGGAGTGGGACATGCCCTCGGGGACAGCAGAGTTGTGCAGAGGCGCAGGCTGGTGTGCCAGCATCCGGGGTTGGGAGCAGTTTCTGAGTCGGCACTGGCAGGAGAGAAGTCACGTCAGGGATGTGTTGCCAGTGCAGAGAGGGAGCGAGCTGCTCCCTCAGTGGAGATGCTGCTTGGATTCGTAGGGGTGAATTATCCATCCTGGCTGTAAAGGCAGGAGAATGGCGTGGGCTGTGCGAGCTTTCCTGGGGCCATGCCACTGGGTCTTCACCTGAGCTGCTGCGGTCCCAAGCCCTCCAACCATTCCTGGGGCTAGCAGCTCAGGGCGCCTCTGGCCCTTCCTGGTGGCTCTTGGGACAGGGAGAGAAAGCACTGGCCTCGTCCTTGGAGAAACTGTTCCCCTCCTGGCCCTTCCCACAGAGCCCTCCCCACCCGAGAGCCTCACAAATGGGGAGAGGGTTTCCTGTTTTTTAAAGAATATATAGGAATACATGCGTCTTTCTAGCACTGATTTCTCTAATGGCTCCTGCGTCCATCCACACTGGCTCCTGGGTCAGGAGGGACCTCTGAGTCTGCCCTGCTGTCACATGTAGGGACAGCAGTCCCTCCCCACTCCCCGCCTCGGAGCTGGGCTGGGATGAGAGGCTGGCATCCAGCATCCTACATCCCACATCCCTCCCATGGGCTTTCAGGGGGCAGTTTGGCAGCGAGACAGGTACTGCCAGGCCAGACGGGCTGTACGCAGTGCTGTGGACAGGACTATTTAAAAAACCAACCGAGCAAAGCAGCGGGACGAGGCGGTAGGGAGCCGTCGTGTGTCTCCACCACTCCTAACAGCCTCCACACCTTCCCTGCGATGGATGCAGGAGCCAGTGGGTGAGTGCTGCTCGTGGGAGAGCATTCTGCGCGCTGCCCGGCTGCCCCGGGCGAGCGGCCCCTCTCGCTGCTGAGCAGCTGGAAGCAGCGCTGACGATGCCGAGGGGTGGTGCAGATGCTGCTGGCCCTGGCCCCATGGCAGTGCTGAGGCCTCTTGGCTGCAGTGCTCCTCTCTGGCAGTGGAGAGAGTCCAGCACCACCCCTCCCCACCCTCTCCTCCTTCCCAGATGGGGGAAAACCTCCCAGCAAGGGAGAGTGAGGCCAGCGGGGCTGCACTCCTCAAGTTTAACATTAACCCAACTGAAAACAGGACAGCAGTGGCTTGTACCAACTCCCCAGCAGCAAAGGAGCAAGTCGTCTTGGGAACGACTTTTTCATCCCCAGCTCCTCACTGAGTCAGCGCCTATCTCGCTTGTCAAACAGTTACCAGCTTCCAGGAATATTGAATATTGAATATTAAATATTAAACAGGCGTCCTGCAGCTCCTGAGCCACTTCTCTTATCCGGTGTGGTGGTGAAGCGCAGGTGATAGCAGAGCCTGCCGGCACAGGAAAGCTGCAGCCAACGCCAGCGCCTGGCGCTACCCAGCCCGGGAGCCCCAGGAGCACCCACAGGGTTGGTCTGCAGCCAGATCGGAGGTTTTGGCACCATCGTGCTCCCAGTGGGGACTCTGTGCCCTTCCCCAGTGTTGCTTTGCTCCCTTGCATTTCCCACTGGCCGAGAGCTGCTCGCTCACAGGCAGTTACCGCAGCCCCGCTGCTGCAGCGTGACTCGCGATGAGCAGGACGAGGCTGCCGAGATGCCGCGTGAGCCGCCCCGTCACCGCATCACCCGATGCTTGCCCGCCCACCCAGCACCGGCGGGGCGTGGGTGCTCTTCCCTGCGCTTGTAAAAGCACCGAGCTGTCCGTGGCGTCTCCCAGAAGGGGACAGAGGGCGGCTGGGGTGTCCCTGCCCTGAGAGGGAAGGGGTGCAGGGTTGGCGTGAGACGTAGGGGCAGCCTTTCTCAGGTCCTCCCATGGTTTGCACTAGCAAAGACAAGTCCGGGAGAAGGAGTCGCAGCCTTAACTCATCAAAGCTAAAGAAGGCAGCTAATTGTCTGTGGTTCCATACCGCGTGTGCTACAAGAGGGCTGCTGCTAGAGCTGCCAGTGCTGCGGT